TTATGTGTAGTGTTTGTGTTTGAACCTTGAACCTCACTACCTCATTTGATTATTAATGTCTGCCAGCATAATGCAATATCAAACTGTATTTATATATACTGCTACCGCTTAATCAAGATGCAGATCCTCACTTTATTGTATGATTGCAAATGTTAATGAAGATACACACTCAAGGCAGAATCATAGCTTGGTAGCAGCTGGTTATGTACTATTAACATTTACAGTTTTTAGTAGAGAGGATGAGAAATGTCAGAGCTACATCCGCAAAGTGGAAAAAAATGACTTTTCATACTCTATACATGTACATAATAAAGACATTCTAATAATAATAATATATATATTTTATATCCACTATAAAATTCTTGAACACTCCATATTCTTTTACCCGCCCTGTGATATTTTCTACTGCCCTTAAAATGAACTGTGCTGGTTTCATCTCACCCATCTCAGCACTTAACCCCTATTGTTTTCATTCTTCCTGTTTATCCTTTGGATTAAAAGTCTATTTGGTGGGGGTGTTGCTCCAGCCCTATATTATAGGATAAGGTTCTACAACACTACATACTGTTTACGACGAAGCTCCAGAAACATGTCTATCTATACGGTTTTGGCTGCTTTGTTGGTGCTGAGTATCACAACTACAGGTAAGTGTCCCCAGGAGAGCTCAATATTGAATGCTCTACCACATTACTTACAATTCCAGGTTATCTATGAGCCTGAAATGCCATATGGGGTTTAGGCTGTAAACTAGGAACTATGGCGTTCCTGCAATTTTTAGGTCTATATAACCAAAGTGAAACCTTTTTTCTAATTCCATTTGTGAAATTTGGAATGGCAGTATGGACATCGGAAGCTTTATTTAAGGAAGTGACTTAAAGGCAGGCAGTAGTAATATTAATGTTGTCCCTTCAATACTTATTTTCCAAAACATTTCTAGATATACAGACAACCTTTATGGATATTTACTACAATATTAATAAACAAAATGGTTTTGTATATGGGATCCTAGTGATTATATTTAACTAATAGATTTAGAAGTTTTGTTCAAGTGTCATTATTTTCTGATTTGTTGATTGATCATGTGCCACATTACCTCTATTTGTCCGGTAACACTTATCCTTATATCCGTATGTGAGTGTATAAAATATTCAATAAGATGCCAAACCATATTCACTAAACCAGAAATTGTTGAGAATAGACAAGACACTGCAATTATTGGGTCAGACTTTAATGTTGTCGATTTTAAAAATTAAAGTTGGAGAATTTTTCCACTTCAGCTATTTTGTCCTAAAATTTTAATCCTTTTTGGATTATTTGTAATCACTGCAAATTCTTTTTATTAGTATCCTTTATTTAAAAAAAAACCTAAATATTCCACAAAGCTGAGCAATACATATATTTATATATTTAATTTATGAATCTATTATGGACATGCATGTTATTAATAGCTATGTATATATCATGAAAATAACAAATTATAAATAAAATTGTGCTTAGAATATATACACCAATATGTTTTATAGAAAATGCATGCACTAATATCTCTCAAGGTGGGAAAACTGCAATGTTTTACATTGCAGAGTAAAATGACAGGACCACAGCTCCCAGACCACTATAATGAGATGGTTAACTAGAGGGGTCCTTTAAATGGAACCTGTTTAGACACCTGAGCCCTGCAACTGCAAAAGTCTGATACAATGTTTATACTATCCGGGCAACGGCAGAATTGGTGTATTTGTTAATTTATCTGTATCTGTGTCATTGTGTATATGTGTGTCTGTGTTTCTGTATATGTGTTTGTGTGTGTCTGTGTGTGTGCATGTATGTGTGTTAGTGTTTGTATCTATGTGTCTGTGTATTCAGATGTGTGCCTGTGTATGTGTGTATGTGTATCAGTGTGGAGTGGGCAGTGTATATCTATATGTGTATACATCTGAGCATTCAAACTCCAACACTACCCACAAATGCAACCCTGCATGTAAACATCAGCACTATATACAGGCACACAAGTATACAAATGCTTTTAAGTGGCAACAGTACATAAAAACACACAAACACAATACTACACAAACACTCCGGCGTACTCCGTACAAAAACATGCATGCAAAGCACTGTGAGAATTGTATGACAGATGGGGAGCTACCTTTTTTTCCATCCTTGGAATATGCCCCCCCCCCCCAAAACATTCTTACACTCTGCTTTGGTTCCACCACTGTACCAGGGGCCAGGGCATCTCTGATTCCTGATTATCGCTATTGAAATCTTAACAGCTTAATAGTTCTAAATAGAGTCTGTCTGATAAAATAAGAGATGATTGTGAAGTATGGTATCAACATGTTGGATTTAACTGTTCTTGTACATTAAACATTTATGCAATGCTGATAAAAAAAACCCTCCTGTTTCCTGTTTCCATTTTATCTTGACTCCGTGCAATCTCTTGTTAGATTAACCGTTCTCCTAGAACAGCATGTGAGAAATATATGTACTTGGTACTATTAAGAAGACCTGTCAAATTCCTATTTCTGATTTTGTGCATAGTCTATTTATCGAAATCAAAGTAAGCAACACTGATGTGTATGACCTTAGTATGGCTGATTGCCTAAACTAGGTAAGGGTAAGGGTCATTTTGAAAAGTTTAGCTTTTTCTGTGTTATATACATACCACCCAACATTGCAGAAGGATTGGCAAATAGGGAAACTTTAATTTCACTGGTGTGAGTGGTGGTGTGACCTGTACTAGGGCTGCTCCGAGTTATTGTAAGTGACTTTCTGATAACAATTTTTAAAACTAAAATGTGATTTAGAACAGGAACAATGCATCTTATTTACACAGACTGCTTTCTAAACACATTTATTGTAGTTTAAAGACACATTACAATGAGTATTATTGCTGCAAGACTCTGATATACACTCAGACACAAAAACAATAGAGCTCCGAGAAAAAGGGTAGCATTCGAATAGAAAAGAGGGACAGAGGAATTTGGCTCAAAATAGTGACTGCCCCTTCTAAACAGGGTAACTTGAAATGTATCCAGAAAAAATAGAAAGAAATAACTTGTAATGTATATATATATATGGAAAGCTATTTACTTCTCCCATATCCATTTAACTGCAAATGTTGCCTACTCAATATCAAGTCAACATCTGCAATAGAGACTCAATTCAAAAATATTGATATTTTACATTTGCAACTTATCAATTTTCTGAAAATGAAACAAAAGTAATAGATACTAATCTCAAATATCACTGCTCTCCTTAAATCTCTTGCATGTTTAGTCCTTTATGTTGCGCTATGGCCATTATAATATAAAATATAAGGTAAACATAAACATCTAAATTAAAAAGGGCTTTTATCTTCTCAGTGTCCAGGACACCTCTCTAATTTTGTACTTGTGTTTATTGGATTATAACATCACAGACTCCTGAGTATTTACCTGGCATTAACATTTCTTCAGGTTATTGAGTGCGCAAACATGTTAATGGATTATAAACCTTGGAAAGCAAGCATATGTAGATCTGGCATTGTGTGAAAACAATACACTCTCCCACATGTCATTGAGTCATGTAAACTGGTATAATACTTACAGAATGTCAGAGAGAGGTTGCTGGTTAATATGTAACTATGGCTACATTGCATTGATTACCCATCTAATGAAATACTTAATTACCTGCTAATTTACATTTATCTGTAAAATGTGCCCATTAATATTGTTTTGTGTATTTGGATGCATAAGTCCCAACATTTTAAATGGACAAAGAGGGAAACTTTATTTTAGGAGTGTGAGTGGGGGTTTGGTCAAGGGAAAGGGCTGTTTAAGTGATTTACTAATAACAATTTATACAATTAAAATGGAATTTAGAACAACAATGTATCTTTTTTTTGCACAGACTGATTTCGAAACACATATATTGTAGTTTAAAGATACGTTACTGTGAGTATTATTGCTGTGGTGCTCTGTTATACACTGTGACAAACCAATACTATCGAGATCCTAGAAAAGAGGGATATTAGAAGAAAATTAGAGAAACAGAGAGATTTGTGTCCAAAAAAGGGACTGCTCATCCTAATTAGGGACACTTGGGATATATGTAAGTATGTACAACTACTGTTTCTGTCTTTTTGTTCCAGAATGTTATCCTCGAGGTCGGATACTGGGAGGAAAGGAGTCTGCTGGCAGGCCATACATGGTGTCACTGCAACTTGATGGAGTCCACTTTTGTGGTGGGCTGTTGATCTCTGATGAGTGGATACTCAGTGCAGCTCACTGCATGCCCGCTGGGTAAATACATCTATTGATTCAACAAACATTTACCAAGACCATTCTAAAATGTATATTTAGTGATAGTCAAAATTGACAAATATTGATTTACCAATAAACTTAGGTGAGCACCCATAGTTTTCTTATTTTGATTTATTTAACTCTTCTGTCACTTTAACTTTTCTTTCATTAGTAACAAGACACTCCATGTGATGCTTGGGGAGTCCTCTCTGAAGCAAACAGCAAACAGCAAAACAAGAGTGGAATTTGAAATCAAGAAGTATTTTGTTCACCCACTTTACAACAGTAGCTTAATTGCTCATGATCTGCTGTTATTGAAGGTAAGGAGAGACCATTATATATTATTTATACACAGGTAAGGTAATAAACATGCTCAGAACATTTATACTTACAAGGTTATTTACAAAAGTGAGAATTCTATGTGAATGTCAAAATATCTGAACTGGGAAAATTGTCAAGGTCAGCTATGCTTTCAGTTTGGCTATTCTGGACTCAAAATTTGAAATGCTCTTTGATTTTACTTGGAATTCTCACCTAAGTAAATAACGGTGTCAGAACTAATGTAGAGAGGGCTCTGGTGCAGAAAAACTATAGTGCTCCCTATAGAGCAGGGGTGGCAAAATGATAGATCTGTAACTTCCACAAAACTTTGTAAGGAGTGGATTTACAATGTGCCCATTCTTCCGGGGGTATATTTGTGAGCATTGCCTGTGTTTCAATCTAGGTGTGCTTTTGTATGCAGTATGCATATACAGATATTTTGCCTCTAGTGCTGGAGTTTTTAACTCTGAGATTTTTCTGTGTACTGTGTTGGCATTTGAATGTTTGTTGGTAGTGTTGGTGTGTGCATGCAGTGGTTTGTTTTTTTGTAGTGTTGGCATTAGAATGCAGTGATGTGTTTATGTGTAATGTTGGTGTTTGCATGCAGGCTTTATTCACATATAGACAATGCAGGCGCCAAAGCACACACACTGACATACACAAGACCTCTCTCCAAGACCAGCTATTAAACTGAAACGCTGCACATACAGACTACAAGTAGCATGAACATTTCAAATTACTGAAGTGGTCATTTAACTTCTATGTTATATATGTAGTGGGTTAATATTTCTATGTTCTATATTTAATGGGTTTCTTGATAAGAGGACATAGTCTTGATAAGAAACCCATTAAATATAGAACATAGAATTATTTTAATTTTAAGTTCCTTTTATCATTCTTTGTTTTACATATGCAACCTTGAAAGATATATAAACAACTTACAATATGGTTGCTCCAAATTTAACCTCCATAGTTAACCTACTGTTCTAAGAAGAAGTGCAAAAATGTTAGAGGGGAGTCAGCGGTAGTTTCGATGGTGATTGTCCCAGTTTTCGTAATTTATTCTCCCACGTTAAAATTAGTGTAGGAACGAATTGGGGTACTGTGAAGTAGTGTTTGGTCTTAGCACAATATGGCCATAGGGTGGAACTGAATACCCATATTTATTTGCTGAGATAGGTGATTTTATGTAGCCTTATAAAATGTAAAATAATTTTTATGTGTGCACTATTCATTTTTCTGTATTATGTATATATTTAGGTCTCTACGGCAGCACCACTTATTAGAGCAGAGCACTTGGATACATTTTCATAAATGTGTCATATAGTGACAAGCTAAAATACATATATCCAAATATATTATGTTTGTGGCGGAGCTTAGCATTCAAAAACTATTGATTACAATATTTTTAATGGTGTTTTTAATTATAATAGTGGTTTCATTTACTAGAGATATTGGTTGATTCATTAAAGTTGAGTGACAGACAGATTTCTGGAAGTAATTTTCGAGATGTGAATTTACCTGATGTCTCTTGATTTGATTTCCAGCTCCCAAATAAGGTCAATGTGAGTGATGCCATTAAGCCCATGCCATTCCAGAAAGAAGATGTTGATATTCCAGAGGGCACACGTTGTTTAGTGTCTGGCTGGGGACAGATAAGGCTTACCGGCAAGAGGCCAGATACTTTAAATGAGGTGTTGGTTACGGTGATCAGCAGAGACCAATGTAATCGTCGAGACTACTATGATAATGAACTTACTGACAATATGATGTGTGCTGGAGAAAAGGGCAAAGACTCTTGTGAGGTGAGGAATCGTACAAAATCAGGTTGTTGGAGTATGTAGATATTATAAAAAACATACAAACATAGAATGTGACAGCCGATAAGAACCATTCGGCCCATTTAGTCTGCCCAATTTTCTAAACACTTTCATTAGTCCCTGGCTTTATCTTAAGTCTAGGATAGTCTTATGCCTATCCCACGCATGCTTAAACTCCCTCACTGTGTTAACCTCTACCACTTTAGCTGGAAGGCTATTCTATGTGTCCACTACCCTCTCTGTAAAGTGATACTTCCTGAAATTGTTTTTAAACCTTTGCCCCTCTAATTTAAGACTATGTCCTCTAGTTGTAGTAGTTTTTGTTCTTTTAAATATAGTCTGCTCCTTTACTTAAATATAGTCTGCTCCTTTGTTGATTCCCTTTATGTATTTAAATGTTTCTACCATATCCCCCCCGTCTTGTCTTTCCTCCAAGCTAGACATGTTAAGAAAAACCAGGACATTGTTATGCTAGTATCCTTAATGACAGGAAGGACTGACAAATACTGCAATATGTGCATGCCTAATTATCTGCATATTTTTAGTAAAAAGAACAAACAAAAAAAACAGGAAAAATAACAAGAGTAAGTCAGGCAAAAATCAGGTAATTATATGATAGAAGGTATAGTAGCTGACTTACAAATTGCAGTAAAGCTTACAATACAGTAAAGTATATCAAAAAGAAGAACCACTGATACATAGAGAATACATATCTCAATGATGTCAGAAAGCTATAAAGGAAGCCCATAGCATAAGTAACCTGAATATAGTCCTCATGGGCCAACACAGGACTAAACTAAACCCAGATCTGAAATACACAGGCTACACACATTGAGAATGGAGGGAGTAGCAGTAGTGCAGGTATGATGCAGGGCACCCCCACCAGCCCAGGATGGTGTTCTGGCCAGCATCTTTGTGCCACAGACTTTGAGGTTCAATAAGTCCCAGTCCTACCCAGACAGGGTGGAGCAAAAGGCTGTGTTGTAATACCTGCATTCGGTCCTCAGTACTGGTGGGTGATGTAGTAGAGTCTTGCTCTTTTTTGCTCTTGGTCTAGGTCGGCAGACAACAGAATGTACATGCGCTTTAACAGCTGAAAGGCTTGAGGGAGGCCCACTCAGCACACGGCACCTGCCCCTCCAATCACTTGTTAAGAGCTTAGGCTTCACCATGGCTTGTCGAGCTGTTAATAAGGCCCAGAAATGGTCTACAAGGTCCACAATGTTCTAGGTAATGGCCTACAAGGCATTCCTTCCTGGTCTGCAGTGACTCAGAACCATGAGGATGAAGTAGAGACATCATCTTGAAATAACGTGTGCTTTATTTCCCCCTTTACGGGGCTTTAAGAAATCCCTGTAAGAGAACTACGTTCTCGCAAGCAGAAGAGCGCCCGCCTCACCTGCCGGGCAAGGTCCCTAGGCCTTATCGTAGCCTCTGTTAAATGCAGGAATTGTGGACAGCTGCAGTATTAAGAGGTGTTCAGGCCGGTACTGGAACAGGTAAGACTTGAGAAAGGGTTCTGTGGCGAGCTGGTAAGCAGTTAATTCTCTAAGTTTGGAGATCGAACTTGGAGCTCACACAATGTGCTTCTAGCCAGCCATTATGCCCCTTTTTAATAACGAATGCATATGGAAAATAAATAGTGTGGGATTATATTGAATCTGTGAAAATGCCTGAGCACATATCATTGCCCACCCACCTCACTATTTTGGCCACTGTCCTAATCCCACCCTAATCTGCCTGGAGTGGCTAGGTTCCCCAATCCCTTAGACATGTCCTAATAAAAAATAAAATGACTCCACAACAAAAATGAATCAATGTGAGTCCGGCAAGGGCTCTGCACAGAATAAGCTTTCAAGGCAAGGAAAGTCTTTATAAAGGCTTTCCCATAGTTTAAAATCTCAGAAGAGAGCTCTGGTTGGCTTGTAAAACAACCAATCAGCACTTTGGAAGGCAAATCTCAATTCTCTCAACACTTGTGATGGTAATATTCCCAGGAATTCAACAATTCGGGTCTAGGTTTAAGCTGTCCGGCAGCTTTTGGTCAGGCGGAAGTCGGAACCAAATACAGGCTTGTTTAGACTCTGCAAATCCAAACATGGTTAATTAGTATAATGCTTTTAAATTCCCTGGTAAAACTTACCTGGTGGTCCACCGGTGGTTAAAGATAAAATTCCCTAGTGGTCCAGCAGGGCTTAGAATTCTAGCATGAGGGCTTTGGGGGGGGTGGGGGGGGTTGTCTAATGGGGGAAGGAGTGAACATTAGGACCTGGCAGGGAGCCAGTACTAGGAAGGGAGAGAAAGCAAGAACCCCACTAGAGGGCAGATTAAAAAGCTGCTGCTGTATCCAATGCCTCCCTTCCGGCTGACTCTTTTGTGGGTATCTGTGGTTTGCAGCTCTATTGGGTGCAAACCACAGTGAACACTCCATCTTCCAGTGCTCATTAGTGTGTGCAGGACTGTAAGGGTGCAACTACATTGTTTGCACCCAATAGTTTCCTGCATCAGCCCTGTTGCTTGCCCACGGCAGGGCTAAATGGGAAAAAAAACATTTTTCCAGCCCAGAACTAAGAAGGCTATAAGGGTTATGTTGTTTGTAATTTGATGTTATATTACTCTAGAACAATAACAAAAATGTGAAAAAATCTTGAAACACATAATTCACAAAGGGTTAAACTAACTTTCGAGCATAACTAATTTTTAGCAACCAAGAGGATTAGCAAGTCTCAATGGGGGACTATCCCTGTCTATTGTGTATTTCTTTATCTGTTTGCTTTTTGACATTGCAAAGCTTTGTTATATTGTATGTACAGGGCTGGTGCAAGGATGTTTGGCTACAGAAGCGTAGATGCATTTTTGGGGGCCTTCTCCCTGTTCCCTACAAAAATGCGTCCTCCCCTGTGTGTTCCTTAATCACCACTCAAATTTCTTACCCATTTTGTGTTTCTTATCCTCTACTTTTTTTCTTACACTCACCTTTAATATATCTTATCCCCCCCTTTTTTTTTTCCTTTGTGTCTCATGCATCCCATCCTTTGTGTGTCGCTTATTTCCCCCCAGCACCTTTGTGTGTCTCTTTCTACACCAGCTCCTTTGTGTGTCTTTTTCTCCCCCAGCCCCTCTATGTGTCTTTCTTCCTCCAGTCCCTTTGTGTGTCTCTTTCTTCCCCCAACTCCTCTATATCGCTCTGTGTACCCCAGCCCCACTTGGTGTCTCCCCCAGCCTCTGGCTGTCTCATTTGCCCCTTCCCTAGCATCTGTCTCTTTTTCTCCTTCCCCAGCCCCTTTGTGTCTTTTTGTGTGTGTCCCAGTCCCTCTTTTGTCTCCCCCACAAGCCACAAGCCCAATTTGTATGTCTCTCCCACCCAGCACCTTGTCTCTTTTTCCCCAGCTCCTCTGTCCCTTTGTGTCCCCACAGCCCCTCCATGTATCTCATCTCCTCCACGAATCTCATTCTCCCAGCCCCCCAAGTGTCTTAATTCCTCCCTCCAGCCACTCTATGTGCTCATTTCCTGCCCTCCAATCCTTTCATGTGTGTCATTCTCCCAGACCCCCATGTGTCTCATTACTCCATGTGTCTTATTCTCCCACCCCTGATATGTCTCAATTCCCATGGCCCCATGTGTCTCAATCCCCATGCCCCCATGTGTCTCAATAACCCAGCCTCCCCATGTGTCTTAATGACCTAGCCTCCCCATGTGTCTCAATCTCCCAGCCCATCCCATGTTTCTCAATCCACAACCCTCCCCATGTGTCTCAAATCCCCAACCCCCCATATGTGTCTCAATCCCCCAATGCCTCCATGTTCCTCAATCCAGGAAGCAGTTTGGCACTCTCAGTTAGCGATTCCTGTCAGACCAGCTGGGTAGAGGGAAACAAACTCCTTCCCCGTGCTTGGCCATGCTACATACAGAGACTGGCAGGAGGGTAACACTGTGCTGCGCTATCCTCCTTCCGGTCAACCGAATCCATTGCCCCCTCGGGCAAGTGCACCCCAAGGCGGCCGTAGCACTGGTAGCACAGGCCCTGTACATGAGAGAAACTGGTGGATTTGGGAAGATTTGGTTTTTGGGTTTGCATGCTAATATTTTTTTCCTGATACTGGAATACAGTTTCTAATAAGTTTTTCTTTATTTAATATATCCTAACAGGGAGACTCTGGAGGACCCCTGATATGTAATGGCGTGGCTGTGGGTATAGTGTCTTTTGGATCTCGCAAGTGTGGCAATGCCAAGAGGCCAGGCATCTATACTCGCATTGTTCGCTACAATAATTGGATAAACAGCACCATGCATAATGCCACCCTGCAAACAACAACCACTTCACCTATAAAACTGTAAGAGGCATCCCAAGAGCATGTATAATGAGAAAAATACTCGGCTATGGATTCCATGACATGTATTAACTTCTAACTAAATAAAAGTCATTGAAATTGTTCATCTGGGCCTGTATATCAATCTTCAGTTTATTTTGAGAAGCAAAGACATTTGTACATCTTCAAAAAAAAATTGGATTTGTTGTTTAATAAAATGTATTTGAGGCAAGCAGATGTAAGTGTGCAGTACAAACAATACATTTTTGTACTTGTATCAATATATTAAAACAATATAAAAATATTTTTAAAAATCATATTTTTCATAATATGAATTTATCCAAAAATATTAAATTATTTGGAATGCTTTTCCAACAATATTAAATGAGCACTATAGTGTTAAACCCACCATTTAGGTGGCTTGCCACCCCTTAGCCCCCTTATAAGGGGTTAAAACTCGCCTTATTTCTGCCTCCTTGACATCATCAGAATTTACGATTTTTAGCCAATCCAATGTTTTTTCGTTTTTTCTCATGTGGAGCTATCCTGGCTTTAAGCACTGAGTATTGTAACATCAAATGGTCAGATGCTTAGTACAGGTAAAGGTCTGGTCACTATGGTGCCCGGCGTCTAACACTTTACAAAGACCTCTAGGGCAGGGGTTCTCAACCCAGTCCTCAAGGACCTCTACCAGTCCAGGATTTAGGGATTACCTGGGTGTGTCTAAGGTGTTTAGAGAAGAGAAAAAAAACAAAAAAGCACCTTAGAGGTGTTTTTTTTTTTTTTTCTAAACACCTTAGACACACCCAGGTAAGCTCTAAATCTGGACTGGTAGGGGGTCCTTGAGGACTGGGTTGAGAACCCCTGCTCCAGGACCTAGAGAGGAAGCCGTCTTGAATGTACAGCCCAGAGGACCTCCGTGTCTGTCTGGTAAATCAGTCCTAGTGAAGTCCATGTATTGAGCGATTCTTTGCTACCATCCCACAGTCAGGTAGGCTTGCATGGGAAAGTTGGTGGTGCAGCCGCCGATCAGTGTACACTAGCAAAACCAGGTTGGTCTAGGACAAATCAAGGGCGTTTTAACCCCCCCCACCCCTCCCAGCCCCTTAAATCCCAGGCCGTCCCAGTAGCATTGTGTAAGAAGGGAAAGAAGTGGGGGGAGGAAAGGGGGGGGGGATGAAGAAGAAAAGTGTAGAGGGAGGAAGAGAGGCGAGAAGAAAAAAACAAACAAAAAAAACACAAACCCACCACACGCAGCATCCCGCTACCTATTAGTGTTTGCATCACCTCCAGAAACCCGCGCGCCCAGTGCGTTCAAGACATTGTCACCGTCACATCTAAGCCCCTAAGCCCCCAACCAGGCCTGGTCATCACCACCAGAATGTGACAGGCTAATTCTGGTGCTCCTGTCCTGCAGGGGAGTCTGAAGCCCCCATTTGTCTTCTCCCGCGGAGAGTGTAGGCCCCTAAACCTCTTGGGATGCGTGTTGTGCCATGTATGTGCACCAAGGGGCCCATGTAAGGATGCATTTCTCAGAGGTGCCATGTAAGGAGGCTGTGAGGGATTCCATGCTGTATAGGTCTTCGACCCTGTCCATCTACTGCTCCATGGTTGGTGGGTCTGACGAACGCCACTTGAGCGGAATAAGAGATTTGGCAGTGTTTAGCAAATGTCTTGTGAGGGAGCGCTTATATGCTGAAAGAGAGCGTTGTATGATGCAACAGCATTGGTAGGAGTTAAAAGGGCAGGTCCAAGTCAAGGATTTTGGTAATCTTGGAATGTATGGGTTGCCAGTATGGCCTAATATTAGAGCACGACCACCAGATATGCAGATCTGTCCTTACTTCGTTCCCTCATCTCCAGCACATGTCAGGAAGATCGCTATTCATATGATGAAGTCGAGCTGGAGTCCGGTACCAATTAACAATACGTTTATAGTTGAGCTCCTGCACTTTGGTGCTAATCATGCCCTGGTCCGCTAGGATATGTATTTTTTCCCATTGTGGGTCTGTTAACGTGCAGCCCGTGGCTTGATCCCAGCAGGCAATATATTTTGTGGGTGTGTGTGGTGTTGTGGTGAGCAACAAGGAGTATAGGAGCGTTATACCTTTTAGGGGGCAGTCTCTCGATGCACATTTCCGTTTGAACGTTGTCAACTCCCTGTGGACCAAATGTTTGCCTGTGATAGACTGCTAATAGTGTTGAATCTGATGGTATCTAAATCTCCCATGTGCGAGGCGGTTCCTTTGGAGCCAATTACAGAAGGGATTTGAACTTCGTAGTGGAGCAGAGCTGTTTCATATAAGTCCAGTCTGAGGCTCCCAGGCCTGCAACATCACGTCAGACTGCCTGCTATGTCAGGGTTGTGAGTAAGCGATGTCAGGGGGGACGGGATTGTGGTGAGCACGTTATCCATTCGCGTGGTAGTCCATATCTCCATGGTGGCCCGGATAAAGGTATTTTGGTTTACTCTGGGGTCTTTCAGGCGAATTTTGTTGATGTGGGAGAGTCTCCTCTTCCGCTGTAGCATCCTG